CACACACACAACCTTCACACGCACTCTCACATAGTGACACACCAGCGCACTCGTATGTCGTTCACACACTCTCTCTCATGCGCACTCCCGTGTGTGCCCCCCCCCCTGCAGTACGCCGACCCCAAGGCCCTGGCCCACGTCACGACGCCGGTGTTTGCAATCAACGGCGACAAGGACCTCTTCTGCCCCGCAGCAGGAGGTGGGCTGGGAGCAAGGAACGGGGCTCTTTGCAACTGCCCAGGGCGCCGCTTGAGGCAGGGCACGGGTCGCAGCAGCGTAGGGAGGCGGCCGCTCGTGGCGAGCATGGGCGGCTGGATTGCTTGCTGTTGCACACCATGATCGAGGCCTGCCATGCCTGGCCAAGCATGTGCCGGGCGAGACCCGGCTCATCCCAGCACTGCTGACCTCGCCACCCACTGTCTGCTATCCAATGGTTTCGCAGCCTTCAAGACGATCAACCTGTTTGGAGGGCCGCACCGCCGCTTCCTGTTCCTGGGCCCAGCCTACGGCACCACGCGCCACCACTACGGCCACTTCTGCCCCATCATCGGGCGGCACATCAAGACAGAGGTATTCCCACACATAGAGGCCTTCATGGCCGAGTTCGACTCAGCAGACACCGCAGACACAGCCGCGATGATCGCCACCAAGCACAAATTCGGCTGCGCGGCGGCCGCGCCTGGGAACAGCGCGCCGGGCCCGCCGCAGCGCCTGCCGCTGGTGCCAGCAGCAGTCCAGGCAGTAGGAGCCAAAGACTGCGCTTGATTCACATCCATCGCGATGATATTGATCAGTTGTCTAGATTCATCAGGGTCTCGGTTGGGTTGTTTTAGCATACAACACTCTTGGCCTTGACAAGACTTTCTCCCCAGGAAGGCCCCACACTCGTGGCCCGTATGGAGCCTGGGGCCCGCAGTGCCTATGGTGCAGACTGCCCTGCAGTAGCTGCAGGCCAGCAGGCACGCTTACCTGCAGCCAAACTTTGTCAAGAAAGAACTTGCGCCCTGGCTCTCTACCTCTGCTGCAGCCGCAAAGGCTGGAACATGGATGTTCCCCTGGTCGGCCAATCCCTGCTATGTGCTGCGTCACAGTATTCATCATGGCCTCATCCCCGTGATATCAGGACCCCTGCACCCCCGTTGTATTAGGACCGATACATTCACATTCCGGCTCCGTGTGGTCATCTGCAGGCCTTAAATAACCCGTGATCAACTCGCAAAGCCCCGCCGCACAGGGTGCTGTGTTGCGGCCCGCGCTGCAACCGCGCACACCAGCCGCCGCCTCGTCAATCGGCTGGCCCTGTCCGTCCTCCGCCTGACCTCACGCCGCGGCCCGGCGCGGAAACCAGCGCGGCATACACCTCGCGCCTCATCCACCCACCAACGCATGCGCACACGTTCAACCAAGGCTAATGTTATGTCCCCACACACGCCCCTTAGATATGCATCTGCTCCCTCCGCTAGAACCTGCCGACAGCTTGATCATGCCCAACCGTTGTAACCTCTGCACCACCTTCCGGGCCCTGTCGGCCCACCGGCAGCTGTGCGGCTGGTGCTGCACCCAAGCGGCGCGCACACATGGCAGTTGGACCCCTGAAGATCTCGCTGGGCCGGGACCGCCTGCGCCTTGAGAGCCCACCAGCCGGAACCGCCTCCTGCAGCGTCAGCCCGTGCATGGCGGGCGCACGACCTTGCCGCTATCGTCGACAAAGATGCGCACGCGGTCTGTGCGGAAGTCCATCGTCACGCAGCTGCCGTTGGGTATGATCTGGGATCGAGATGCAAGGGTAGCGGGCACAAGTCGGGCGGCGTACGCGGACCCGCTGCGCACCTACAGCTGCACAAGCGAGCGGCACAAAGCGAGGCTTTGAGGCTGGGAGCTGAGGCAGCACGCGGCGGATGCGCTGCGTGCCACGCAGAGCGCCGCTTCTGCCCTGAGGTGACATCAACATCGTTGCGGCTGTGCGGGGCGCGCGCCCCCACCTGCACTTTCAACTCTGGGTGGGCAGCCTCGATACGGCGCTTTGCCTCAGCCCCGTCCAGCCCCACCAGATCTGGAAACTCTGTCATGGCAACGTGGCGTGCGGCCGTTCCAAGCAGTGCAGCGGTTGTTTGATGTGGCGCCGCAGTGCTGCAGCAGTGCAGCGGTGCAGCCTTTTGCGAATGCGCAGCCTTTTGGAAGAGTGGGAGCGAGACAGCCGCGCTTTTGGCTGTTAGCTGCGCCCAAGGGACATCAAAACACCGTCAATAGGCGAAAGCGGCACTCCAGAGCATGCACACTCACTTGTTGAGTGAGCCCCGACGTCATTCGCTCCACTGGCTTCCGCGAAGGTGCCTTAGCCAAGCCGCTGTCCCACCGCTGCTAAGCTTTGATCTGAATTAATTCCGAGTATTATACCCACATCACAAGCACGTGCACTTTGAGAGCACGAATGGGCGACAGTTGTGACCCGACGGTGACTGTGGCTTTGACCGTGGGCACGACGAGGCCCGTCATAAAGATGGCCTGAAAGCACTTGGCCAGGGCATGAGCCGAGGCGTGCGCCACGGCGTGAAGGGCAGCGTGCGCATCGTGATCTTGGGCACCCAGATTTCGCAGTGAGAGCCTCGGCGACACCAGCAACAATCCGTGGAGAGGCCTGCAACACGAACAATGGCAACAGTCCCAGCTTCATAGTCTTAGCTGCAGGCCCACCCTGGGCTGCCTCGCTTGCACGCAACCAAGCACGCCCTCTTTCATCCAGGCTAACAGTCTGTTCTGGTTGAGGTGGAATCTGTGACCCCAGCGTGCCACCTCTGACTCGACTGCCACATAATGCACGTGGCCGTGGCAGCCATCTTGATCCGTGGTGAATCCATGGCCCCGTGCCGCCGTGCAGGCTGCGGACGCTCGTGAATCGCGCGACGCCCGCATTTGGCCACGCGAGACCCGCAGCCCATGCTTGTCCTGGATGCTGAACTTTGGCGGTGTGATACTGTGGGCAGCCACGAAACAGGACAAGCACGGACATCAGCACAATGGGGGCCACACAACCCTGGCAGACGGCAAGGACAGATGTGGCACTCAATAACAAGCAAGCTTCCGTGCGATGCTCGGTGGGGTCGAGCTGCAGCTGTCTCGATGCGTCCGAGACACTTGCTATTTGCGAGGGCACCTGTTGAAATCCGTAAGGAGTGGTAGGTGTGAGAGGACAGCTCAACCACTAGGGATTAAAATCTCACCGCTCCTTCATTGCAACTTCACCATCCTCACCTGGCCCCATTGAATGGCTCAAGCTGCGCGCCTGCCCACCGTATTCGTGCCTCAATCCTGATTTTGTGTCCTGCGAGGGCTGCTAAACTTGGATCGCATGCGTTGTTCAGATTGCTACCTGCGAGTGGGTCGGGATTGAGAAAAATGGGGTCAAGCTCTTTGGCATGATTTTTCGTGACTTGTGAATGGGCTGGGCTCCACACGCACGACCAGCGGCCGCGCCGCTGGCGCACACACGGGTGGTCAACTCAGTGAGTTGACTTCCAGGGATTGTGTTTGTGTGATATCTCAGCTTCATGCCTCAGCGTGTTTCATGAGGCTCCATTATGCAGGCTGCTGGTGCGTACCAGTGGCTGCTGAGTTGTGATTTCCGACTCGCCCACCTGGCGAGGTGACCTCTGGTTGGCAAAGTGACGCCGCAGCAATCGCGCGATTTTGTCTCGCGCTCTGTTCACGCGGGCTGACTGCGGTACCTAAAACTCGTAATTGTGCCGGTGGTGAGTCTTTTTTTGCTGCTCTAATTCAGCGTGATCTCATTCGTTGTACGTACGAACCGCGGTGGGCAGAACAGTGAAGCAATCTGCACCCTCTGGGGCGTTGGTGATTCACGGCTGCAAGTAAAATTCACGGGGACCGGCCATTGGCGGACTCGGCGGCGATGGGTGCCACGCCGCAGCAGCGGGCTGCTCCTGACAGCGCACGCATCGTTTTTCGCCTGCTCAGGCGCGACGACCTGCCGCAGCTGCAGGTGAGGTGTCATAAACCCTGCATGTCAGAATTAGGGGCAAACTCAACGAAGATCTGCTCCAACAGCGAGCGGGCGCGTGCCCGCGACCTCGGGCTGGTTTGGCCGCACGCCAAACCAGATGCTGGGGGGGGGCGCCTCGTCCCTTCGAGCCCGCGCGCACCACCACCCCTGCGCGTTGGCCGCGCCCCCCCCCCCTCCCCTCAGGAGGACTGCGCGGACCTCTTCTCTTTCGGGCGCGACGTGCGTCTGGAGGCGCTGCTGGAGGCACCCGACCGCTGGTACTGCCTGGCCGCGACGGCAGCAGGCCCCGCCGCCGGCGCCGCCGCGGACCGCGTGCTGGGCTTTGTCGCGGCGGCCGTGGGGCGCGTGTCGGAGTTTCCCGAGGTGGGTGGGGGGTTTGCTGGGTGCGGCGTGGGGAAGGGATAGGCTGGGACCGGGCCGTCTGCGACTGCGCACAGAGCTGTTGTGAGCTGTGCTTGCGAGCGATGTGCGGCACGGCAACCAGGAGCCGTGCTGCTGGCCGTGGTGTGCACAGCCGGCACAGCGTCTGCACCTGGTGCCTCGCGGACATGTGCAGGAGAGTGCGCTGCTCACAGCAGCGATCGAACGGCAGCGTGTCGCGAACGGCATCACTGGGAGCGCAGCCGCCACCACCACCACCACCGCCAGCAGCAGCAGCAGCAGCAGCAGCAGCAGCAGCAGCAGTAGCAACCCCGTGGACCGCAGCGGCGACAGCCCGTCATCAGCAGCAACCAGCAGAGGCACGGAAAGCAGCAACCGCGAACAGGGCTGCCAGGCCGCGGAGGACCTGGTGGCAGAGGTGGTGCTGCTGGGGGTGCTGCCCGGCTGGCGGCGCCGGCGCGTCGCGACGCGCCTGCTTGCCCGGGCGCGCGCCTTTGCGCGCAGCCGTCAGTGCGCGGCGATGTTTCTGCACGTTCAGGTGTGATGGCTCCCACCCCCCCCTTCCCCCCATTGAGGGCCTCTCCTATGAGCGAGGCCATGCGCGGACCCCTGGCTGCCGCCTAGCATGACACCATCCTGGCATCAGCGCCCCTGAGCTGCGTCCCGCCAGCGAGCCTGGCGCACGGCGTCTCAAGAGGCGCCCCCTCGCTGCCCTGCACCCCCCTTCCACAGGCCAGCAACACCCCTGCGATCCGCCTCTACGAGCAGCAGGGCTTCCTGGACTCAGGCCTCATGGCGGGCTACTACGAACAGCAGCAGGCGCCGCCGCCGCAGCAGCCGCAGCCGCCGCCGCCGCCCGCCTCACCCCCAGCAGCGGCATCCACCGCTGACGCGGGCGCGGCCCAGGGCTGGTGGAGCAGCAGGGACGCCGTCCTGTACGTGCAGCCGCTGCAGCTAGAGCCCCGCCCCCAGCGCGCGCCCGCCGACGCGCCCAGCGCGCCGGTTGGTGCCGCCCCGGCCGCGGGCGCGTGGCCGGCGGGCCTGCCCCTGCCGCTGCCGCAGCTGCGGGCGGCGCAGGGGCTTGGGCTGCTGGCTGGGGACCCGTTGTCGGCTAACAGCGGCCGCAGGGGCGACGCCGGCAGCAGGGCAGCCGACCGGATGGCGGAGGCGCTGCCGCCCAGCTTTGTGCGCAAGGCGGAGGGCCAGGGCGCGTCTGGCGATGCGCCAAAAGCTGGCGGCGGCAGCTTGCAGGACAGTCGCACTAGTGCCACAGAGGAGTGTGTGAAAATTGCAGCAGATGTGGGATCTCTGCCCGGCAGGCCAAACAGCGGTAGCAGCAGCACCAGCAGCACCAGCAACATCAACATCAGCAGCAGCCCGCAAGGTGACGCCGCCCCCTCACCCCTCGCATCGCTCCTGGGCGCTGCGGCCGGCGCCGCGGGCCGCCTGCTGTTTGGCCGCCCGCGGCCCCGCCCGGCCGGCCCTGAGCTGCGGCGCGAGGTGGTTGAGCTGGGGGCTGGGGAGAGGGTGGTGCTGACGCGCGGGGAGGACGGGGAGGTGTTCATAGAGGAGCCTGGGAGCGGCGCCGAGGCAGGGGGTGACGGGAACACGCCTGACGATCCTGGGGCCGCGGATGCCGGAGGCGAGGCTGACATAGATGGCGGCACGAGTGGCGGCAGGGGTGGCGGCGGTGCAGTGGCCCCGGGATCGAAGGCGGTTGAACGGCTGGTGCGCTGCGGGCCGTCTGGCAGGGGGCGGAGCGCGGCCAGCGGCCTCTGTCCACCGCGGAGACCACAACACATCGGTGTAGCACAGCAGCGGCAGCATCCGGATCATCTTCATCAAGTCCAGCAGCACCAGGAGCAGCAGCAGCAGCAGCGGCAGCAGAAGCGGCAGCGGCGGCAGCAGCAGCAGCTGCAGCAGCGGCAGCAGCGGCAGCAGCTGCTCTCAGCGGCGGAGCGGGGGAGTGCGCCTCGCCCGCGCAGTCGGGTGCAGTTGGGCCGCAGCAGATCGCACACAGGGCCTGGCTGCGCGCGGCCCGTGCGAGTGCGATGGGTGTAACGCAGTTGCTGGTTCTATATTGATCTTACTGCGGCACACTCAATGATGACTCCTGGGAGTTGGGCTGCGACAAGGGGTGTCACACAAGGGTACTCATATCATCGCTGCGTCGCCAAGTTAGTCAAGTTTGTCGCCTTGCCCCATCCCACAACAAGCCTGCTGAGGGGTGCGTTGGTGGTCAGTACGCTGTTAACTAGCAAGCGCCTTGCGGGCAGCGCTGAGCTGAATTGCGCCCGTGGCACTGGGCACAAGACACACATGCGGAGCGGCGCACCAAACCAGGAAGGGCAACTCTCGGTTGCACCACACACGGTTGCCCTTGTCCCTTGTGATTCGCAATCAAGCCGCAGTCAACCACACTAATGAACGGAGTACGCGGGTACAGCTTGGCGTTGATGCTTCTCTTTGGCTGCGAGTCTGTGTAGTGCGCCCACAGTTGACCGGTCAAACGGTGGTCGAAACTTTCCCCCCCCTGCGTTGGGGGGCGTTGGGAGTGCCATGCTTTCTTGGGCATTAGCTGGCCAATTTGGCGTGATTGAATGCGCACCATCATGCGATGATCGCACTGCTGTTCATGCGGTCCGTGCGCAAGTTTCAGCAACAGGCGGTGTCTCCTAGCTGAACACCGCTGATCCAAGGTAGCTGCAACTATGCCGTTGCTGAGCAAGATACTGGCGTAATTGGAGAGGGTTGCTCTGTAGCTCTCGAGCGCAGGGCAGGTGGGAGGGCCGCACGAAACATCGGTGCGGCCATGGCCCCCCCCACCCCCCGGTGCGGTGGATTCCCTGCCAATGGGACCCCCACCCCCCACCGCTGCGCTCGCCGTACCGTACCTTCACACGCGCACGGCAGCCCTGCCACGCGGCCTCTTTCACCCCCGTCCTCCCCCTCCCTCTGCGCCTGTAGCCCAGATCCAATCTCCGAAGGAGGGGCACGCCCGGCTGCGCATGCGTGCGCGCGCTGCCCAGCTGGCAGTCCAGCAGGTGGATGCGCTGCGGCCTCCACACGCTACAACGCACGGCTTTTTGTTACACTGAAACGTCACATGAGAGTCACTGCGCTGCCGCACAATTCTTCGCATCCCGCACACGTCCCACAGGGTTGCTGGGATTTACATATACTATAGTGTTTGGTTTCCGAGGTTTGGTTGTTCCTGCCCACTGGAGCTCGACTTGCACGCTGGGTGGCGTGGCAAGGGGACCCTGCGTGCGGCGCAGTGGCTGGGGGCGTGTGCCTGCACGTGCTGGCACTGCACAGCAGGCGGCGCTGCGCTGCCGCCACACGGGGTCGCTGGTGCTGACACACGACCGGCCTGAGGCGACGAGGGAGGCGCCCAAGCGCGACACAAATCACACACAAAACATACAACACACTCATTTGAACGCGACGCTATGCTGTGGTACCCTGTCCAATACTCTGGCCTGCACCTGTACAGCCCTGCAAACACAGACCCAAAAATGCTCTCACAGGCAAACAGGCTGAAGCTCTTAAGCAAGTCTGAACAGACCACCGCCGCCCGCCGCCGCACGCCAGGCGACCTGCGGGCAGTCCCCTTGTATCCGGGTCTGCCACCTGGGTGATGTCACCACACTCTCAGGTGATGTCACCACTCGATGCCATCAGAACCAGGGCATCCACCATATGTACATGCGGCCCAGGTTCTCGTGGTCCACCGCCTCTGATATCAGCCGCGCCACCTGGCCCTCCACTGACAGGGCCTGCATGTGTGTGTGTGTTTTGGTGGGTGTGTGTGTGTGTTTGTGTGTGTGTGTGTGTGTGTGTGTGTTGTGTGCGTGTGCGTTGGGGAGAGGGGATGTGCATGAGCGTGCGTAATTGTAAGTCCTTGCATGCATGCTTGTACGCGATAGCAAATGTGCACGCACGCTTGCGCACATGGGCGTGTGCAGACAGTATTGTGCACGGCGGTCTGCCGTGTGACCTGGGATGTCGGCTGCAGCCAACGCGTGGCGTGGCGCAAACCCACGGGATTGCGGGGGCTGCCATGCCTGACCCCGCGCCGCTGCCCTGGCGGCCGCACCTGGCTGGTGGGTATGGATGCGACGCCGAGGAGAGTCCCACTAAGGCGGCCCTCGATCGTCGCCAGTGCGTCCTTGGCCTGCGCGGGTGTAGGGAGGGGGGAGATTGTGTGTGTGTGTGCGTGCGTGTGTGTGTATGTGTGTGTGCGTGTGTATGTGTGTGTACGTGTGTGCATTGAGTGCCGGCGTGATCGCATGGGCGTTACAGAGTCCAATCCATGCACAAGCGCTGGCGCAAAACCAAGCGTCACGGCAAGCGGGCGGAGCGAAATCCGGGCGTTGCGGGCGGCGGGCCCGAGATGACCGTATGCCGTGCGCGGCGCGTCCTGCCCACTGTGTCACGCGCGCGCTGTCCACACGTGGGGCGGCCCACCATGGGGTTGTCGAGCTCCTGTCCCGCGCCCCTGTGCTGCTTGGTCCACTCCACCAGGGGGTCTGCCAGGAACGTCTCCGCGCACGTCATGAGGGCGCCACGGTTGGTGCGCAGGACCTGGGGGTGGGGGTGGTCCGAGGGGGGGGGGCGTGACCGCGTGAGGCATGGGGGTTTCAGGGTTGTGAGTTGGGTGTGCTGTCACATGTGCGCAGCTGTGTATGTCTTGGAGGTTTGCGCGGCAGCTTGTGCGTAGGAGGGCGGGGAGAACGCGTGCGTGCGCAAGCATGGGTGGAGCGCCTGTGCTTTTCCGACTGTTTGCGGTGGTCGCAGCGCAGCCTGCGCCAGAGGATCGGCCAAAGCCAGGAGGGCACATCGGTGCCGCCGGGTCGTCCCTGCCGGCCCCTAAGGCCCGCATACCCTGTCCCGGGGCCCCCAGCCCATAAACCTGCAGTGTAAATTCGGCGGCGCGCCTGAAGCCGCCCTCCACCCCGCTGACGCCGCAGCCGTCCGCCACGTTCTGGGTCAGCCTGGTGGTTTGGTGCGCGTTGGGAGTGGGGGTTTGAGGCTGACGTGTGGTGTCGCGCGGTAGGGCTTGGCGCCAAAGGGGCAGGGGAGGACAGCAGCGAGCGGCATCTGGCCTGGCGAAGGCGTCACCCCTCAAAAGGCAGCCGCAGGCGTGACTACACACGCACACACACGCACGTGCACGCATACATACGCGCGCGCTCCGCGAGGCTGCCGCACCGCCGCCAGCCGCACGAGGGCGGAAGCTTCAGCCACAACACCGGCCATGCCCGCACTGCTTCCTACCAACACCGCCCCCCATCACCGCCGCTCGGCCCCCCGGGGGTCCCCCACCTGAATGGCACCATCTCTGGGACCTCCAGGGTGAGGCCGCGGTCAAACAGGCAGCCAAAGTCAACATGCATGATGTCACCTGGGGGCAGGGGGAACGGGGTGGGACCATACCATGCACAGGCGGGGAGGGGAAGAGGCTTTCAGGGTGAGCTTATACGAACGGGCGGGTAGCAGGTGCAGGTCTTACAGGGGTTCAGTGCAGCCGCGGCTTGACAGGCTGTGTGAGGATGCCCCTGCCTGCCGCGACGGCGTGGGCTGCGCATGGGCGGCCGTGCCGCATGCGGCACGCACGCTGGTGCACAGCGTGGCAGGCGACGAGGCTGCCAGGCGCGCGCTGCCCCGCTCTGCGCCGGATTCCATCACAAGGTGACATCCCTCAGGCGCAGCGTGGCTTGCCATCGTGTTGTACCTCCCCAAACGCCTCCCCTTGCCCGCACCGCCCCCCAAAAAACGGCCCTTGCTCACCCGTGGTGGCGTCGATCATGATGTTCTCCCCATGGCGGTCACCCATGCCCAGCACATGGCCCACCTGGGGGTGAGGTCGGGTGATGGTTTGAAGGATGGATTGGGGTCGGGAGGAGTGCGATAGGGTTCGCTAGGGGTGGGTTGGGGTGCGAAGATGAGTAGAGGTCGAGGTGGGTTGGGCTGTTATGCTCTAGCTCACAGCAAGCATTGGGCTGGGAACGGGGCTGGGACCGGCCCCAGTGGGTGAGTGTGGTGGAGTGGGGGGCACCCAGGGGGGGGGGCGGGCGCCAGGGCTTTGGCAAGCACGGGCACAAGGGGGGATGCGAAGCCTGCCCCAGGTTCATGAAGGGCGGCAACCATGCAACGCACCTCGCGGTGCCCCCAGACCCGCTCCGCTTCCTGCGTGTGCCCCCGCCCCACCGGCTCATCCACAAAAAGGACAAAAGGTGGCCGGCAGCAGCGGCGGCTATGGCGGCTGGCGACCCCTCACCATGCTCCAGGCGGCCGCGGTGCGCGTGAAGCCCAGGCGTGCTGCCAGCCACGCGCCCGGCTCTGGGAAGCGCGCCAGCAGCCACTTGTGCATGCGGGGCGGCAGGGTGCTCAGGACCTGCGGGGTGCGGGGAGTGGGTGTTGGGGGTAAGGATTTTGTGGGTGGTGGGAGGTGTGAGTGGCAGGGGGTGCAAGGGGTACAAGAAATGCGGGGGGAGGTGAAAGGGGCACGGCCAAGGCCGGAGCACGAGCAAGACGGGCGCCTTGGCTTTGGCGTGCGTTGCCCTCCCCTGCTGGCAGCGGCCCTGGCGGGCTGGCCACGGGGTGCGGTTTTGCGGCCTTTCTGCGAGCAGAGCTTTGATACGCCCAGCTGCCCGTTGTCCCTTTTGCCCCGATGTGGTTGCTGAAGGGGCCCCCAGCTACACCCTGGCGCCTCACGCTGGCGAGCAGGTCGGCCTTGCGGGTGCCTGGGGTGCAAGACAGAGGGTGGCGGCGATGGAGGCGGGGGGGGGTGTCGTCGGCGAGGGATCGTGCAAGTGTTGAGCATCAGCAGCGCCCGGCGATCCGCCGTTAAGTGCGCCGTCGAGTCCCAGAGGCCTGCGGGATGCCCCGGGTCCCAATCAGGCGGCACGCGACAGCCTGCCCCCGCACGACCCCAAGGCTCGCAATGTCCACTTCCCCCACGGCAACGCTCGAAACGTCGGTTCCGCACCCTGATTTCATGCAGTTGGTCCTCTCGCCCCATCCCCCCGCACACACCACCAACCCCACTCAACTACCCCCCCCCCCCTCACCCTGGAATCCGTCGTACAGCTTGCGGATCTGGGTGGGCGTCTGGCGGCGGTTGTACAGCTTCTCCGCGGTGTACACCTCCTCGCACGCTGACTGTGCGCGTGAGGGTGTGCGTGCGCGTGTGTACTCGCGTGTGTAAGTGTTTGTGTGTGCACCCCGTATTTCATGAGTCACGCGTCACCTTTGCCCCCCACGTCCAATCTTTCCCCCACCAGACGAGGCGACCCCGCCAACGACAGCAGCCGCGACCCCCACACTCAAGAGCCACCACCACCTCTCTCGCCCCACCTTGAAGGCCACCAGGTTGTCCACCCACTGCAGGATGCCGCAGTCGTCAGCCAGGGGCAGGACAGCGTAGGTGCGCAGCGCGATGGAGCGGCGCCGCGCGGCGGGGTCGCGCGCCATCAGCGCGTTGAGCACGCCTGGCAGCAGGGTGGGGGTTGGGGACGAGGTGGCACGGGGGCAAGGTGCGGGGTAGATGCTTGAAGTGGAGGATTTAGGATTTGTATGTGATACGATTCAGAGTATCAAGGATTGCTCTGATTTAGGGGACGCAGAGCTTATTGAGGTGAGGACAAGCGGCGTTGTTTGCATCATCGTCGTGACGTGGCTCTGGCCAAGATCCTCCTCTCCCAGGCTGCAACAAGGCACAGTACCCTCGGATTGCGGCCCCCCAGATATCAGATCACCAGGCCCCCTGGATCACCTGCAAAGTCCATCAGGCGGTAGTCTTTGCGCAGGTCATCCTTAGGCTTCGCCAGGAAGGGGTACAGGCCGCCATCACTGGGCCGTGGGGTGTCGGGTTTTGGGGTTTTGTGTGCATATGTGTGTTTGTGTTTGTGTGGTTGTCATGTTGGGGGGTCCAGGTGCGTGTGCCACTTGATTTCTGGGACCGGGACGAGGCAGTAGGGGGGACAGGCCCGGCCCCATTGCCGAGCAGCCCCTGCCACAAAAACAAGCAAACCCGACCGACGGGAAGCACTCCAGCCCTCATTAATCTCCTACACGAGCAACTACAGCCACCACGAGGGTGGAGCTCCGCCATCCACCAGGCCTCTCCAACCCCTCCTCCCTGCGCACCAACCTCTTTCCACCCCGCCCCCCAATTTTTTTTCTCCTCCCACTTCCTGACCGCTTCTGCCAACCCCCTGGACTCCAGACCCCCCCCCCCTGGCAGACCACGAGAAATTGTCCGGCCCTTCCCCAGCCCCCCACCTGCCCACGAATGTTATCTTCTTGGGGCGCTGCAGGCTGGTCATGAGCAGCACCTCGTCTTGCAGCCCGGCTATGGTGGGGCTGGACGGCACCAGCAGAGCGGGGGGAGGGGCGCCGCCGCCGCCCGCCTTGCCGCCAGAAGGGGGCAGCGGCATCGAGAACAGCGCCTGTGTGTGCGTGTGTGTGGTGGGCGGGGGGGGGGGGGGAGTTGTTGCACCGGGTAGGATGGAGGAGGCTTCAAGCGGGGCGCGTCCGCACCCCGCACAAGCACTAGCTATCCAAGCACTAGAATTGGCATGTCCTGCGGCCCCGACGCCGCCCGCCTCATCAACGCCACATTGCCCGTGGACCCCGCAGCACCCAGCTTGCGTTGGTCGCATCCCCGGTCAACACCAGTCAACCCCAGTCAAACCGCGGTCAAGCCTTGGTCGACCCCGCGTTCACGCCCTAGTCAACAGTCTTGTGCACCCCGGTCAACCCCGGTCAACCCCGGTCAGCCCCGGTCAAACTCCTGTCCCCCCCCCAGCGCCCCCTCACCTGCACTGGCACCTGCACCTCCAGGGGCAGCAGGCCCAACAGCTTCGGGAAGTCGCGCTTGGCACTGGCCTGGCGCACATTGGCCTTGGTCTGCGGGTGGTGGTTATCGAGTGAGTGAGTGAGAGTGTGTGTATGTGTGTGTGTGTGTTGTGTGTGTGTGTGTGTGTGTGTGTGTGTGCACGCGCGCGCTTGCGCACGCATGGGGCAAGACGGGGATGAGGGGCGGCGTAAGGAGGGGTGGGGGAAGCCGGCGTGCCGGCGGCTGTAGCGGCGCCTGGCAGCATGAGGGCGTTGCGGCGGGAGGGTGGGGATGGGGCACCCCAACCGCTCCCAACCACAACCCCAGGTCAACACCGAATTTCCCAGAGCGTCGAGCTCGCAGGCTACCAACTCTCCCGCACCCCAGGTTGCTCCCAGCCGCCCCCGCACTTCGCCCCCTCCCACACACACCGCAAGGTGCCAGACGCCCAGCACCCCAGGTCCTTCAACCCCCTCTCCCTTGCTCCCCTTAATCCCACCTCCCCTTTCCCCCCTCCAACCCCTCGCCCGGGGGCCCCCCTCACCCCAACTGGCTGCCAGGGGCACAGCTTGACCAGCTGGTTGTGCAGCCCCAGGAAGGAGTCGATCAGCCGCCGCCCAGACTCGGGGGCGCGCTTCCTCGCGCTCATCACCAGCGCCGCCGCCGCCTCCTGCGGGGCCACGCAAGATGTTGGTGAAGGGGGGTCCCGGCCGGTGCAGCGGGTCGCTTTGGCGCTTGATAATGTAGACTTTGTTGTGGAAGGAAGGTAAAGCCAGCAGCTTGGTGTGCTTGCAGAGGTTGGCTCGGGATAGGGCAGGGGGGCGGGGCGCGCGGCGCGCGGCGCGAGGCGCGGACGCGGCGGCGGCGGGCGGGGGGCCGGGGGGATTCTGTGTGCGCGCCTGTCTGCTGCGAGAGTTGCTCTTGGCGACGCCGGCCGTGGCCCACAGCATCTGCTGGGGGGCGGCGTCCAGG